GAGCTGGCGTCAATTTTTTTTTTTTTTTTTTAAAAGTTTAATCATTCCTCAAAGCGAGCTGCAGCTCACCTGCTGAAGTGTGTGGCTGCGAATTAAACAACTGAGGTTTAGCTTTTTCAGGTACCACCTTGCACCTTCGTTATACCTGTGTTTCCAGGAAATGCCGTTAAATGAAACTAGGAGGGTGTGCGTGCATTTCCAGTAAGTTAGTGTTGGCACCGGGTGCCTACAGCCACGCCAGAAATACTAGGTTGAGCAAGGAGGTTGCAAGCTCTTGCCCAACAACATGTGGTTCTTGTCTGTGTCTTCTTCCTCATACCCTTTCCTCTTTTTGCCACTTCATTTTAAGGTGAAGGTCCCTTCTACTGTGATAAAAGGCAGTTCCACGATTCATCATATCTAATAATATCTAATAATCATATCTAATAATCGTATCTAATTTCCATCACTAGTCTTCCTTTTGCTGAAGAAAGAAATACTTACTGTTGCCATGAGAAATACTTAACTTGTTGCTACAGGAAGCAGAATAATACATGTTGGGAATCACTGAGGAGAGCTGCTGTAGGAGATCACAAAATAAAGCCCCAGTTCTCAGAATCTCACAGATATGGATCATGCTACGTGACTTACATGCTTATCAGGCAAAAGTCTTTGAAGTTTCCCCCTAAGGTAGGTGGTAGCAGAACAAATGTTTGTATCGCTAAATAATAAGTTTATTTCAAAGGTGTTTCAATGAGAATTTAAGTATCAGGGCACGCTGGTAGTTCTAGCAGCTTTTAGGTTAATTTACTAATGTTCAGATGTATCTGTTGAAAATTAAATCTAGTGTGTCCGTAAGGATTTCCCTCTGCTTTTCAGTGGAGCTTGTGGAAGAGTAAGGGCAGTGTCTTAGGATGAATCACAATAGATGAAGCTCAGTAACTGGAGTTTGTCCCCATGGTGGATGGCAATTTTGACTGTAAAGTGGATCTTACACTGTCAGTTTGGCAGATTCTGTACAAGGCCATGTATATTTTAGAACTGCAAGACTATTAATTACTATTGTAGTATAAAGTTACTACTTCAGGAAGACGTTAACATTTTCAGTGTGTAAATGTATATGTTTGTCTCTTGGGCTAGAATGATGTATTAGTTTCCTAAGTTCCTAAATTACTTTCTTGAGTTTAGCACTTGCATTTTCTGATTTTTCTTTCTCTTTCATTCTTCAGTTATTAATTTCACTTGTATTTTCTCACTATGGTGATATTGCAAATGGTTTTGGAATGAATAAGCAAGAGAGGTTGAACACTTCTACTCATCTGAGATTTCACTGAAGTTTGTTATTACTCTTGAATGTCATCATCTTCCTGATGGGTTTCAAAAAAGATACTTGCCTTTTAACAAATAGATAAACATAAAGAAAAGATGGAAGGAAACTCCATTTGTCTACTTCTAACAAAACACAGAAGAATGCCAAACATTTAAGGAATATATTAATCTTCATCCAGTGATTGCATTGGTAAAATTGAGGGCTAATGGAATGCGATTAATGGTAATATGCTTATATTGTTATGTAAGATATGCTTTATCTATCTATACGGTATATAAGGCAGAACTGGAGAACTCAAACTGTGCCAGTGGGCAGCTCATACTGTTGCTTAATTGAAGAGATACTCTCAAATATGAGTCTCTAATTTACAGCAGCTATTACATTAACCAAACGTACATCTGGTTCTGTATTCATTAGAATAACAGGTAGGTTATATGCAAGCAGTTAAACTTAATTCCAAAACAGGTATGAGTGTTTGGTAGAAGCAAGGACTTACCTTACGATTTTATCTCATCCTAAGCATGAATAGCAAAATCTTTCCAGTTAAGGGCAGACAATGGTGAGGTGTGTATGTAACAACATTATAAGGTGTCTTTTGGAAACCAGATGTGAATACTCTTGTCTGTATTGAAAGAAATGGAGAAAAAAGTCATAGAATCGTAGAGTACGCCATAAGGCTCATCGGCATAACAGCAGAGAATATGAATTGTCCATACTCTGTTGCTTGCTACCTGTCCTATCTTTCCCTCGCTTTTTTGGATGACCTCTTTTCAACTGAAGCTGAGAAATGAAATCTGATGTACAGAGTAAGCTTTAAAATGAAAAAGTAATTTTTAAGATTATCTCCTCTGCTTCCTGAATCACTGAAATGTTAAATCATGAATGTGTTATGGTATGCTAACCCAGAAAGGTAGGTTGTAGTGTGGCAGTTCTGTATTTAGATCTCAGCTAAGATGGAATTTCTGACCATCACGATACAGAAATAAGGAGTGGTTTTTATCTTTGCCAGGGCAATAACTCAAGTGTTTGGGCATTCACTACCAAAGTCACTGCTCTGTTTTAATTATTAAAAAAAAACCAAACAAACCCAAAACCAAAACCCCACTCGTTGTTTCCATGTCTACTGTGTAACCCAATCACAACACTGCTAAAGCAGGAGAGAGAGATTATTTTTCCATTCCCGTTAAATGGAAATTAAAATAAGACAAACAGTACTTTTATAAACAAGCCTTGATAAGAATTTGACAACTAAATTGGTATAGCTAAATGGAAAAAAAATCAGAATAATGCATATAGACTTAGATCATTATTGAGTTCAGAGAGGAAGATGTTTGAATTTCAGTGTAAAACCTGCTTAAAAGAAGTACTTATTTTCATATTAATTCGATGAAGACAGAAAGTTGGTAAAAAGACTGGTTTTTTTCCCCTGCTTAATCTATTGGAAAGCATGAAAACACATAGTTCAATAATAATTAAATAATGGGGAAATGACAAGTAATGTATGTGGAAAATACATCTGGAGGAAAGCAAATGCCATTTCATAAACTGTCAGTAGGTGGCACAAACATTCATAGAAAAAGCTTGGGCGTTCCCAAGTATTATTACACAGCATGGTAGAGTTTCAGGAAGTTTTCTTTTTTTCTTTTCCCCAAGTACATTTTCTGCTTTTCTGGAGAGCAGGGGTTTCTGGTGAGAAATCTTTCATTTTATTGATTTTATGCGGTTGCTACTTAGATAAAACTGTTTTATATTCTGCATCTTATTTGAAAAATGAGCCATGTTTTCCGTATAGGGATATTAGCAACTGTGTGATGTACTTTCAAGTGTATGCGTAAGAAATTAAAGTTGCTTATGTTCAGTATATTTGTCCAAAGAAGCTGGCCAGATAGCAGTCTCTTTTTATTAGCATTGCACCCATAGTTAAGGGCGTCACAGTGGACCCACATTAAGTCACTACTTAATGGAAGTAGTTTTTCTACAGTTCAGGAATGAGTCTTAACTTGATGATATGTTTCATCCATGTGAAAGCCATATATTTAACAGTTGAGTTTTGTATTATGCTGATAACTTGTGAAGCGCATGCCTTAATTTTGAACCATCATAGCTCAATGCATTCTGTACATTTCTTATATAAAATTTTACAGAATCACAGAATCACAGAAACACTAGGTTGGAAAGGACCTTCAAGATCATCAAGCCACCATGTCCCCTAGACCATGTCCTGAACATGGTTTATACATTAGTTGGTTTATACTGAGTTTATACTGGAAAAACTCTTAAAACCTCAGTTTTGATCTCTTCTCTTGCTCTTTAAGCAACAGGACAATTTCTTGCTATGATCTTGGTTTATTTACCTTACTGGATTGCTTCTCTGCTTATATCTTGAATTTAATTCAGAATACTTCTGAATTAAAAGGGATATGACTACAAAGGATAATTTCTCCAGTATCAGCCACCAAAATCACAGGTCATGTGTTACAACAGTTGTTAATTTTGTTGCTTCATAGGATATTCTAAGGAAAGTTTGAAGGTATTCGTAAGTAATTTGACTGAATGCCAGGATATAGGAATGAGAAAAAAAATTAAGCATGTGTGGAAGAATCATATCCTTCTTTCCTGGATATTGCTGAAATTTTATCCTAAGAAGAAATAATGATTTGAAAGTAGATTTTTTTTTTTTTTTACAGATTTCTCTTGAAGCTACATATTTTGTTCCATTATATACATGTTAGTAGTGTTGCCCAAACAATCAGAAGAACAGAATAGGGGATACTGATTATCTTTTGTCCTCTGCACATGCCCGAATGCCTTTTGAGGGCTACGACGGTAAGACTGCATATAATTTTTCCAAATGAAAATCTGGAAGAAGGCTGGAAAAGTTTTGCCATATTGCCTCGCTATTTCTAGATGATTTCCAAGCCTAGTTTCATGCATTCTTTACAAAAAAAGAACTCAGTGGATTGTTTTTTTGTTGTACTGTTGAGATTTCGTAACATAGGTTGTGTTAGATCAAGGAGAATACATTTTACACCCAGTAATGTAATTCTAAGAAAGCTTGTGGAATGGTTAATGGTACAGAGGATGTAAGTCCTCAAGGTTGTAGCTTCAGTCCAACAAGTGACAGCTATTACTGTCTCATTGTAGAGTCACTAGAAATCATTGTAGAGTCACTAGAAATATAAACTCACAATTTAAACATTTGAATATCAAGGGAAAGTTGAAAACCAGTGCAGTCATCAATAAGCACTATGGAAAGCTTCAGACAACAACTATGATTTAAAAGTAATGTGAGGAAGAAGGGAAGGATGTTCCGAGGAAAGAAAAAGATTTCAGAAATCTGGAAAACAACTTTAAATCAGGATTTACCATGTAAAAATGCTAGCTAAGTTCTCAACAGTTCCTCTCTCAGAAAGGCAGTCTAATGGATTTATGGCAATATCTAAAAGGAGATTTAAGGCGGTATTCACAACAGCTGACTTAAAGGGAGTCTGGCTACCTACTACATTCAGAAAGGAAAAGTGTCCTTCATTAGGGAGAATCAAAGCAAAGCCACAGTTAGGATTTTTCTCTAAGTGGTGTTTAAATAAGCCTCTCTCTCACAACAGAGATATTTGAGGTCAGTGTCCTTAGAACAGGGCTAGATTTTGTGTGCAGAGGTCCTACAACTGCTATTTTTTTGTGTGCATGCACACAAAAATTGTGCATGCAAATATTTTCCATTTGTGTTTGGTGTCATCTGTGTACACCTAACAAATCAGACATGGGGGCACCCCACTTTCAGAGTCTAAATTCAGGAGATGCTCAAGCCCATACGGGAAGTGAACTCTTCTGTGGACTTTCCCGTAGCATAAATGTAGAACATCCTAATCCCCCGCCCTGGTCTCCCAAGTTAAAATAAGTGCTAATGACCAATCTCAGCTACCTAAAGCCATTAGATTTTGATTCACTCTCTTGAACCTCCATCCTATGTTTCAGTCCAGGTTTTATAGTCACAAGTCCATTTTAAAAAAGTCTATGAGTCTAGTTCATATCCTTCAATAGAGAATCTGAGGAGAGGATGTGACTATACTGACCTCAAATATTGTACTTTCTGCTCAGTGTATTATACAGTTGTGGGAAGCCTTCATAATACATTGAATCACAGCGATAATTCTGTAAGTAAGTAGCAAATTTTAGAAACTATGAAATCAGACGTGTTTTGTAAGAAACAGACTTGTTATATATTAAATACAGCATGTTTACCAAATAGAAATTTCAGTGGTGGTCTCTTAATAAAGAATGCCTCTCCTGAATGATAATAGGTGCCTTCATTGCTTTTTGAGTCAAAGGGAGAGATAAGAAATTTGAACCTTAAAAAAAAAAAAAAAATCTATCTCTACAATGGCTCCTGCATAGCCTCTTAGTGATACAAATCTGGGGTTTGTTTGTTTGTTTGTTTGTTTTCCTACAGAATTAGAACAAAGATGGACAAATAAGAGAAATACTGAGCATCTCAAAGGAACCATAAACCCATATGACAGCAAATGAGATCTCTCAGAAACCTTTTTCTTTACAAGTGTCTGTTTGCATTAACTTTTTGGAATCACGTCAGCCTGTCCGTGGAAAATGAACTCTTTACATCTGGTTCTAAAGATTTTCCAGAAGATGGTTCTGACAAAAGAATCAAGAGCCTGCCACTCCTGTATACAAACAGTCACCAGTCCAAAGCTAATTCTGACTGGGTTGTGATACAAAATACCACAGAAAGCCTGTCATTGTCAGAAATCACAAATGACAACGCAAAAAAATTAGTAGCTTTATTATCTAATTTCAGACAAGGTGCCAGGTTACAAAATCTGACACTGACAAATGTGACAGTGGACTGGCATGCTCTCATTGGGATTTTTCAAACTGTATGGCACTCATCCATTGAATACTTCAATATTAACAGTGTAACACAGTTGTCGGACATCAACAGCTATAACTTTGATTATTCAGGTACCTCTATGAAAGCATTGACAATGAAGAAAGTTTTAATCACAGATCTGTACTTCTCACAGGATGACCTATACAAAATATTTGCAGACATGAATATTGCAGCCTTGACAATAGCTGAATCAGAAATGATACATATGCTGTGTCCTTCATCTGACAGTCCCTTTAGATACTTAAATTTTTTAAAGAATGATTTAACAGATCTTCTTTTTCAAAAATGTGACAAATTAATTCGACTGGAGACATTAATCTTACAGAAGAATAAATTTGAGAGCCTTCCCAAGGTAAGC